CTATACCCATAGGGCACCGGGAAAATTTTTCTAAATATAGGGCAGCAAATAAGTCATTGTGTCACCGCTGCGCGGCGTTTGCGCGCTTCGCGCGGATATCCGGGCTGCAGATCGTCAAGGAAGGGTTAGGGTTAGGGTTAGGGTTTTTGCATCATTCCTTGATATACGGAAAGTCTGTGCATCAGTTGATGATACACAGAAATCTGTGCATCACTTCGTGATACCTAAGGTGCCTAAAGTGGATTTGCACCACTACTCACTAGCTAGTACTAGTAGTAGTAGTAGTAGTAGTAGTAGTAGTAGTAGTGCTGCCAGGGTCTATGTCTCCCTGGGTACTGCCGGAACGTACCCTGGCACTATCTAATAGTAATATGCCGGACCGTAGGCCTACCTCGCCTACTCCCCTAACGAGTCTAGGGAGTCGCCTACGCGGCACGCCTACTCCTAGCTCTAGTACTATACTCTATAGCCCGCGAATCGAACGCGGGCTATAGTACTAGAGCTAGCCTACTCCTAGCTCCAAGAAACGGTATTGCTAGGGTTAGATACCCTATTGACGTTAGACACACAGCCTGGTCGGGTTAGCCTACTCCCTAGCTCTAGTACTATAGCCCGCAGGATCGCTGCCGCCTGCGGCAGCGATCCTGCGGGCTATATAGTACTACTACTAGAGCTAGCCTACTCCCTAAACCGACCAGGCTCTCCGACTAGTTACACGGCGTAGTGTTAAGCGAGATGGGAACTTGTGGCTAGCCTACTCCCTAACCATATCAGATAGTCACCAGTGTGCGTTCTAAACAATAAACTGATATAACGCCACGCCCAGATGTTTTTGAAGTGATGCGCGCGAAACTACATAAACATTAAGACTTTAGTCGTATTTCGTCTTTCGCATTTCGTGTTTAATTACCACGATTTCATGTGAAAAGTTCAAGCGCCCATCAACAGTAGTGAGTAAAGTCGTAAAGTACAAGGATCACCAGCGACCTCTCTCGGTGAACTTCTAGGTCGTGTCCAAAGATCATACAGCGCCGCACGGCCTACGGCGCTATAATAATGTTCTTTGGTCGTGTCATAGACTGAGGATCACTTATATGATCTCAAACTAGAATAGTCTGTCTAGTCTGTTTTGAGATCAGTGGCTGAGAATAACAAGACACGATTGCTGATCTCTATAACTAGGCCTACTATATTCTATACTATATTGTACTATTCTGTACTATACTATATTATATTAAGATATTAATATTATATCAAGAGTAAGATAATAACCTCTGGGTTATAATCTTACTCTTGATAGGCCCTACTATATATTCGAACCTGTCATCTCTGAGGACGCCATCAACCGCGCCACGGGGACACGCGGCGAGTTTATTAGAGGATTTGCGTCGAGCTTTTAAATGTCAAAATAACCCAGTCACACTTGAATATATATATTATAAATATGTTTATATTCTTCTACTATTTCAAATAATCTGTCAGAATCATCACGCAGTAATTTTGCTACATGGGCGAAATTACCGCGCTCCGATAACAATTAAATGCTAGCTGTGGGCGATTACTCGCGTGTAGCGTCACATCTGTCTTGCCATGCCGCCCTGTAGCCATGCACAGGCACTTGAAACGTTTCAATAGTAAAATGATCGTAAAGAAACAAGAAATGTATAAATTTACTACTAGCGTATTATTGTTTCTCGACTCTCTTTCGCCTATTATTGCCGATAATTTTCTGTAAATGCCGTTCAAGTGCTCCTCTGCAACAGGCAAGTATACAGCAACGCACGCCACTGTGCACACATCAAACAGAATGAAAACAAGTAAGAATTATATCAAGAATAACTCTCTCGAGTAAAATATTATTTGGCACAAATTATGCATTTAAAATGAAGACGAGTTATCCTAGCATTGATTTATATCATAACATTCTATCTCTCTCTCTAAGCAAGCTATATTTTGCAGTTTCCTTCAGTTCCTACTGCACGCCTGAAACTGTGCTCGCGTATACGCAATATCTCCCGGGAAGAATAATATTTTGCGAAAATTATGCCTTTAAAATGGGGAGGACGTATTCAGGCATAGATTTATATGATAACATTCTATCAGTAGACCTCACTTAAGAAATAGAAAGAAGACTTTCATGTAAGGTCCTCGCTGTCTATACCAGTCAGTACACAATCTGCGTGGCTACGTTAGTGTGTTAGCGCATGCGCATTATCTCACTATAGGAGTTATATTTTGTAATGAAAATGCATTTAATATACTTAGGGGCTATCTCAGCATAGATTTATGTAATAAATTGTTATCAGTAAACCTGTGTTTATAATTAGGAGAGCGCCCTAGCATATAGGGTGAAAAACTCCTACTTTACACCCTCCCGTTCTTCCCCTTGCCTTTCTTGTCCTAGCTTGCTCAGCCTCCTTCTTCTTCTACCGCTCCCAGCTATCTTCTCTGCCGCCTTTCCTCAGTCTGCCACTCTTTTTCTTTCTCACACTCTCTCGATCTGTAAGCAAGCTATATTATGCAGTTTACTTCAATCCTTACCGCACGCCTGAAACGGTGCTCGCGCATGCGCAAGATCTCCAAAGAAGAAGAATATTTTACGAAATTTATGCATTTAAAACGGGGAGGACGTATTCAGGCATAGATTTATATGATAACATTCTATCAGTAGACCTCACTTAAGAAATAGAAAGAAGACTTTCATGTAAGGTCCTCGCTGTCTATACCAGTCAGTACACAATCTGGCTACGTTAGTGTGTTAGCGCATGCGCATTATCTCACTATAGGAGTTATATTTTGTAATGAATATGCATTTAATATGGTTAGGGGATATCTCAGCATAGATTTATGTAATAAATT